CTTGCTTACATATGACAGTTCCTCTTCCCTTTTCCTTTCTTTCCTCTCTGTGTTTCTGAAATATGTATATAACAGCATCCAATCCCCTGAACTATCTCTATTAATCTTTACTGGCTTAAGTCACCATTTTCATAATGTATGAAATTTTCTTGTTCAAGGCAGACAAAGTTTTCAGCAGAATGACTGCCTTCTTGGCTTGTTATGATCTTACTACTTATCTCACTCTATTACTTAAAAGGAAAAAAGAATAAAAAAATCTCTGTTTTATAAAAAGCAATGAATCACATTGTTTTGACTTTTTTCTTTTTCTTTTTTTTTTCCATTTTCTTTTTTCTCTTTTCTCTTTTTTCTTTCTTCTTTCTTTTTTGTTTTTTTAAGGCAAGAAGAATTATAGTAATTCTGCTGAATTCTTCACATTTATCACTTAAGTGTCTCCCAAAACAGTCCTGATAACTTCACAGGCGAGAATAAAACGCATATCCTTGTTCTTTAGTCTTTGAGAAAATGTGTTCTACAGAGAACTTGTAAAGCTATTTCAGCATTAATGAATTCTTGCAAATTGCTCTGTTTAGAAACTGTTATAAATAAATAGTTATCTTTGATGATACTGTTTAGTTAAAAGAATCAGATGTGTTCCTGCTCTGCAGTTTCTGGGAAACCACAAATAATGGTTTTGCCTGGTTACAGCATTAGGACTTTTGGACAACATAGCTCAGTCTTTCTCAGAAAGTTCAAGTGTTGGGACATATTTCTTTATCTGATTTTTCATTCTTCCAACGTTCACCTCTACTCAGACCTTCTCCCTCCACTGCATCAAATCTCTACTAGCTCAGCAGCTGCCAATGTTACAGCAGAATAACTATAACATTCTTTTAGTTTGGAGAACTACTACATTTAGATGGTTGCCTCCTTTGTCAAACTGCTCCATTTGTGACCACCAAAATCCAGTCTCCTAATTCCAAGTACCGTGCCATGACTACAGCTACTTCCAGTGATTACTAATAGTTTTTCTATTGAGTTTCAGTACAGTACATATGTCATTGTACTGCTGTGGATATGTGGGAGGGGATTAAAACCAATGGCCCTCAAACCCCACAATAGCAGTTTTCCATTTTTAGTCTGATTGCCAACAGAAAAAAAGAGAAACCAGGACTTTCTTATCTGAAAGTGATTCTGTTAAGTCCTTTCTGGCAGGATCTCAGGTTGCATAAGCAAAAGTCACAAAACAACAAAAACCAAAGTGCAACATGATCTTTTATAGGTTCTCCCTGTGAATTACAAGCCAGCATGAAATATGAAGATGATCAGCTGTAATTAAGGTAGTGGGTCAAATACTAGACCTGACTTCCTACATATGGTTCTGTGTGCAGAGAGGTGTCTTGTTGGTGTTCTTCTGGTCTGCTGGAGAAATCAAAAAGTGATAAGGAGCTATAATGCCTGTATAATACAGTACACCTTCTTTGTATTTGACTGTCATTTTGAGGAAATGTGTCAGTAAAGCTGGGTGTCACCTGGTCTTGCATACCATGCTTTGCATTATTTTCAGGGTTAATGGTTTTCTTGGGGAAACAAGTCCTCATTTTCAGTTTGTGTAACAGGGGGTTTCTGGTAGCATGTTTTGTTTGCTTGTTTTTAATAATGTGCTTAAGGATAATAGATTTTTTAAGTAGATACATTTTCTAGTCAGTTATGGCTCGTGTTAAATAATGACATTTGATTGTGTTTAATGTTGCTCTTCCTGTCAGTGACAACATTTGGACAGATGAACCAAACACATGGAGATATGGGTGTATGTTGGCTGTTTGGAATAGAATAGTTTTCAGATGCATACAGTATTTTCCAAATATAGATTCCAAATATTTTTGAATAAAGGAAGAATAGTATTTCTTCTCCAAATGGCATTATGATATTTTTGTCATAATGTGTTCATCCCAAAATTACAAAGGTAAAATTGTAAACTAAAATTTTTGTGTTGCTCCTCTCCATTCTATTGATGGGAGTCTTCTCTGTTTTAAATGTGTATTTTAGTCCAGAATTTTTGCTTCTGCAAAAAATATCAGAATATGCTGATTTATTTTTTACTTCAGCATACAGTGGTTAGCTGTAACTAGACTATGAGCCCACGTTTCTCAGGAGGTTTGATGGGGAATATTTTTCCAGAAGACCATTTCTTATTCCTTCTTTTGTTCATTTTCTATTTAATCTCTTTGTTTATAGCTTGGGTGGGCTTTTTCCCCCTTTGAAGACATTTATTAACTCGAATAGAGCATAGCATCCCTTCCAAAGGAAGAAATGGGGAAAGAAGGGAGAGAGCAGGAAACAAATTCCTGCTCAACACCCTGTGATTGTTTTTTCTGCATGATCAGTTCTTTGCCCTGCTCTTCTCTCATACCCTTTTTGAACCAACTTTTCTATGCAGGGGAACTCAGGCTCTTCCTTGACAGGCCTGTGGAGTGCAGAGCAATGTATCTGAAACGTGATTGACACTTCAGTGTTACTGTGTGTGAATCACTGATACTGAAGCTTTGAAAAATTAATGTTTTGGATATATTAAACACTCCCTAACTGCCAGTGATGCTGAGTATGATGTTTGGGTATTTCACAGCTTTGAAATAGAGTCCTAGTGACTTTTTTGGGTTCATGCTACCTCCATGCTTCTACTTTGCTATCTATGTGTTCTCAGTCCTACTACAAGGAGTTTGCTTTCCAGGTGAGATGTCCCTCTGTCTACAATTTTATATGCAAATATAGTTTCTTCTGAAAATGATAGTTTATGAACAGTTTAAACAAAAAACTGATATTTGGTAAGGAGATGTTCTCACTCTCATTGAGATGAGTAGGAAGAAAACCTGTTACCTTTGGTGAAGGAAATACTCCATAAAATTGTGAAGCCTGAGCCTGGAATAGTGAAGTAATTTCACCTTGCTGTTCTGTCTCTTCCAAAAGTCTGTAAATTTATATTCTTCATGGCAGCAGAAGCCAAAATCCTTCTTAATTTTTTTGAGACAGAGAGCAGATGTGTATGTGCATAATGCAAGCTTAACACTGAGGCATAGAATCATAGAACCATTTAGGTTTGAAAACACCTAAAGACCTCCAAGATCATTGAGCACTGTCAAGTCCACCACTCAGCCCTGTCCCTATGTGCCACAGCTGCACATGTCTTAAATGTCATCCTGTCACTTGTTATTTGGGAAAAGAGGCAGATGCACACCTTGCCACAACTTCCTTTCAGGTAGTTGTACAGAAAGAGAAGGCTTCCCTCTGCTTCCTTTTCTCCAGGCTAATATAAATTACATATATATATTCATATAAGTAATATAAAATATAAATAAGCAACATAAATCCTAGGTAATGCTGATGAGATTAAAGAGTAAAAAAAAGTCACAGGTCTGACATGCAGGAAGTTCATGTACCTGAACATACAGGGCTCCAGTGGGCAGGAGACAATAATACCCAATAATGCATTTTCTTCTGAGCTTCTTTCAGAGCATCATGACCAATGAGTGCAACATAAATATAATCTGAATACTGAGTGGGAGGTGAACAAGTGAAGCTTAAATTAGGCCATGTCTTGAACTTCTTACTTGAGAAAAATTTCAGCTGAGTAACTAATTTAAATATCTGGGGGGTCTTCTTTGGGATACCAACAAAATACTCAGAGTGGATGGAAGAACAGCTAGGAGTTTATATATCATAAATCCTATGCATTACTGAAAGTAAATTATATAAATTAAAATATGCTCCATTGGGCAAGCTGAATAACTGTTATTTTTAAGCTTGTTCAGAAAACCTGATTTGTTTACCTGATTTCTTCAGGCAGGGTAGAAAAACAACCATATCAACAAAACCAATCACCACCCTCTCAACTAACCCAAAAAAAGAATCAGTCTTATTTCTGAAAAAAATTTTTTAAAAAAAAAATCCCACACAAATTGTGGGGAAGAGGTGAGAGCCAAACAAGCAAAACCTGTTGCTTAGCTTCTCTAAAAACAATTTTGAATTTAGCTGAGTTCATGAGTTAGTTGTCATGTTATTTAGAAGTGGAATAGAAAAGCCTTTATTTAATAACATTAATAACATTTCTTAGCTGAAGTTCACCAGCATATCTTCAGTCTTATTTGAAATTCTCCAAGTGCAGTGATGCAAATTCCCCAAACGTGGCAGGACCTTGCAGATAACTTTCCCAAATCTGAATGTTTCCCTGGACAGGTGACTCTTCAAATACCCCTTCATCTCTGCTTAGCAGCTGAGTTTTCTTGATTTAAATTCATCTGGTTTTAGTAATGGTGAGACTCCATGTCCAGCTCTGGGCTTCTCAGGAGAGCACAAGAGAGACACGGAGCTTCTGGAGCAGGTCCAGTGTGAGGCTCTGAGGATGAGGGTTCTGGAGCACCTCACTTATGAGGAAAGGCTGAGGGAGCTGGTCCTGTCTAGCCTGAGAGATCTCATCTATGCCTGTGACTGTCTGGTGCCAAGAGGGCAGTGTCTCTTCTCAATGCCAGGCAATAGTGCAAGGGGCAACAAGCAGAAACAGGTACACAGAAAGTTCCACCCGAACATGTGGAAGAATTTCCTTGTTGTGCAGGTGACCAAGCACTCTAACAGGTTTTCCAGAGAGGCTGTGGAGTCCTCTTTTGCTGGGACTATTCGAAATACACCTGTACGGATCAATCCTAAATTATGCGCTCAGGATAACTCTGCCGGAGCTGGGAGGTTGGGCCGGATGACATCCAGCGTTGCCCTTCCAGTGTTAGCGGATGGGTGAGCACCGGGAGGGAGGCGATGCTCCGGCAAGGGGCTGTCGGGCTCTCCGTGCGCGCTTTGCAGCTCGGAGACCTACGGGCGGCAGAGGGCAGGAGCCGGCCAGCATCCCTCGGCAGGGCCCTCACCCTGGGAGGCTCCGCCCGGCAGCGGCACCGACCTTCACCTGCAACCCGAGCCGGGCGGAGCCGGCGCTATAAAGGCCAGGGCGGGCAGCGGGCGCCGCTCTGCAGGGACCGGCCGTCGGGGCTGCAGCCATCCTGCCATCCATCCGTGCCGGGGTCTGCGGAGGTGAGCTGAAATAACCAGAGGGGAAAAAGCACAGTTAGAAATCGGACAGGGTGCTAGTTGGTTTTGTTTGGGTTTTTGGGGCTTTTTATTTATTTTTTTTTTTTTATCAGGCTGATTAGGCGTTTTCTCGTCCATGTTGTTGTAGGTTTCATCAGCTTCATGTGCGCCTTTTGCTTGGGATTTTGTTGCTGTTTTTCTTGTTTGGTTTTTTTAACCAGCGTATTTGATAGATCAAGAAGAAAAGTCTCAGCAGACTTAGAGCATTAGTCATTTACTGCCTCTAAATGCATCCTAGTACCACACGACAGAATGAGTGCATGTCTTTATCACTGCACTCCCAACCACGTTATTTAGTTCTGTTCATTTAGTTCTAATCAAACTTGAGGCAATGAGGGAAATTATCTGGTCTGTAATAGAGAATTTAGAACAACCTTTATATGAGTGATTTAGCATAAAAGACTACTAAGACAGCCTACTGACCTAAGTTGCCCAGTAATAGTTTGTATTGTTCTTAATGTCTCATTAATAGTAGTTCTTTTTTTTCATGATGTTACTTATTTTATTTTCTTTTTATTCTTTCTATTTAAGTAGAATAATGTTGAGACCAAAATTGTGATGTGTCATAGGAAAACTCAGATATGAACTCTTTCAATATTTACTTAATCAAAGTGTTTTCTTGGGGGGGTTTATTGCAGATTCTAATTAATGTGACTCTCTCATAACAAAAAGGACAATGAAGGACTATTCTGCAAATTCCACAGAACAGGACCTCTCTGATCCTGGTAAGAGGGAGCTCCGCATGTGTGTTTGAAAAATGTTCCACAGGTTTGAATCTAAAGAACGTTATAAAGGCTCTCCTGATTGTCATAGTTGTTTTGTAGGAGATAACATGATAAGTTTCCTACATATCAGTGAATTAAAGCCACACCTATAAAACATTTTTCTGCATGAATCATTCCATCAAGTTCCACAAAATTAATTTGCATTGGTAAAACTGCTCAGGAGGGTCCTAGCCTGAGCATGAAAATTCTCCTGAGGTAAGCTGTGGAAGCTGGAATAACATTATTGCTGTCAAAGGGTTGTCTAAAACAACTGTTGTAGGCCAGCTATCAGTAAAATAGTATGTAGAAAACTCTTCACTGTGAGTTTGCAGCTAAAGTTAAGGTAAATTGGGAGTGGCTGGTATGGGGAGAAGCTTTTCACCTCTTGTTTTTTCAGCTGGCTCCCCACTCTGGCTACTCCTCTGTTTCTTCATATATTTATTACATCTCATTTTATGCATTTAGCTTCCTGGGTAGGATTATGCTTTCATATACCTTTCTGAAGCCCCCAGCACAAAGGAAATGGGGCATGCAACAGCTACTGCAAGAGACTAGTGAAGATGGTTATTAGAGTCAAGGACATGATTCTTTAGTTAACTACCATCTATTCTGTGTTAGCTACAGCAATTATAACCCTCACTATAAGCAATTCCACTCATTCCATAAGGACTTCTAATTTGCATTTAATTGTTTGAAGGAAGAATGAACTTTTTCTTTTAGTCTTTGATAATCTTTCTGTATAAATATATTTTAATTATAAAAATAAAGTTGTTTCTGTCTCAGAAATGGACATGTAAGCTTTTTCTGGGAATAAAGATGAACTGAAGACAAAAAGCCTGGTGAATTTCTCTTGAGACTTCCTCCCAAGAACATGAGAAAAAACTAATCTAGAAAAAAACTAGAAAGACACAAGAAAGCATAATAATCCATCTATTGTATTACTAAAAAAGTGGTTTTATTCACAGAATCTGGAAACAAGGGGTGTGATGGTACTTCTTTACCACATGAAGAACATGTAGAACAAATTGACCAGTCAAAGCCCAAAAAGAAAACGTAGGTATTTTTTTTTTAACTTAGTGTTAACTGGGTGTATGGGAAAGTCAGAGGGGCAGGGGAGGGAGGAGAAAAGTTTAATACAGATTTGCTAAAAAATCCCTTATCTTGATTAGTCTTTTATACTTTACTCTAGGAAGGAAGATGAGAAGCCAGAGAAACGAATTGTTGGCATTCTTGAATTGGTTAGTGATTTATTTAATAGTCTGCTTTAGACTTTGTTATTTGGTATTGTGAGCTGTTTATGACTTATTATTCATAGGAAATCAAAAACTGGAGAAGAAGCCTGAAGACTATTGATTCTGGACCTGTTCTCTGAGAACCAGTAAACACCAGTTTTGTGTCAGTTTTCTATAGGACAGATATTCTCAAACAAAAATAGCTCTTGCATGTGGACTTTCTTACTCTGAAACAAGAAAATATTTATTCTTTTCTGGTTTATTCCATGTGTATTTACACTTAGAGATGGTTAGGCCCGTCAGGAATAAAATGATCCAGTTTCAGATTAACCACATCCCGGGATGTCTATAGCAGTTTGAATTCACATCCTTCTTTAAACAAAACCAAGCTCCAGGGATAGACAAGTTTCAAGACACGATCTATCTCTGTTGAAAATGCTTTCTACTGGTAGGTGTAAGTCAGGTGCTGGTCAATAACTCACTCTTGTTTACATTATAGAGGCATTATCTTAGTAAATATGCAACTCAATGAAACACACAATATATTCTACAAAGATCGTCATCACTTGCAAATACTTATTTTTTTTTTTCTGACTGGGAATCTGTGTCCTGCCAGTATTCTCTTAGCAGCCTGAGTACTGATTTAAGGATGTGTTGGACTACTACGGAATCTTTATGTACTGAGTTTACCTTCAGCTGGAGTGTTGCTACTTAGAATATGTGGCTGAAGCATGTTCTGTAAGTCCACTGTACTGCAGTAAATGCATGAACTGTCAGGTTTAATGTCCCTTTTTTCTCTTTTTTTTTTCTTTTTAATGCTTACATAGTTTTGCTATGCTGATGGGGTGGATGTCCTGTTGATGATAGTTGGTTTGGTCGCAGCGGCTGCAAATGGTACTGGAATGCCACTTATGATCATTGTCTTTGGAGAGATGACAAACAGCTTTGTGCTAAGTGGCATGCAATCCAATGGTAAAAAGTTTAAATTAAATTTCTCTGCATATTGATTGTGTTTTGCTACTGAGGCTAAGATTCTGTTTTTCCCCCAGATTATACACTGGTACATATCTGAGGTAATGTATTATGAGCAACACTCATCCTGCTGGAAATAACCCAGTCATTTCAATCCATCTTTAATGGCTAGACCAGGGCAAAACTAAAGCATTGGATGTGCACTTTATGAATGGACTTTGACTTTGTTGAGATAGTAGGGAGTATGACCACTCTCAGTTATCAGGAATTAATTGCTTAAAAATAAATGTTTTTTTGCCAAATCATTTTGCATTTAAGTTTGTATTGCAGACCCCACTTGAAAAATACAAAATATTCCCAAACTGAAAACCCCATATTGCCATGAATCAACAGCTCTATATAACACTCCCACAAATATTCCTACTTTTAATTTCCCCTTCACAGATACTTCAGTAAACACTTCCAGCTGCCTACCAAATCCAGGCGTGGATATAGAAGGTGAAATGACAAAGTAAGGATCTGTAGTTATATATGCCTTCCCAATAATGCATCACAGGCTTCAGTATTTACTTTGGTGTGATTGATTAGTTGCTTCTCTGTGTGTCTAACTTTTCTCATTAGATACAGTGGGGTCATGTGGGCTTTTTTTTTCTTTATCCCAGGTTTGCTTACTACTTTGTGGCTATTGGCTTTGCTGTGTTTATCCTGAGCATGATCCAAGTGTGGACATTTTTGGTTGCTGCTGCAAGGCAAACTGCAAGGATACGGAAGATGTTCTTTTTTGCAGTGCTCCATCAGGAGATGGCTTGGTTTGATACTACCCAGATAGGAACACTGAACACCAGACTGACAGAGTGAGGGCTCTGTTGTTTTTTTTTCTTTTACACACAGACACACACCCCCAAGTAAGGCATTTAAAAAAACCCTGATATTTATCTCAACAGAATAGCCTAAAGAGAGTTAAAAAAAAAATCCACCGCACCTAAAGTATGAAATATTACAGCTCAAGGTGAGGAATTCATTATCCTTTTTCAGCTATGTGCATTGGAAGGGGTTTCTTCATTAAATGTCTGACACCGGCTTTCTGAAGCCTGTGAAGTACATGTCAGCCACTGCTAAACAAACTGTCTCCACCTAGTTTATAAATGCCAAAAGCTGGCACTTAATGGAATGGAAATGAGCTTATACTTGCACCCAGTCAGAACTCAGGCAGTATTCTATCTAGCCAGTTAAAGTCTTTGTAATTTTTCCATAAACCTAAATAGATTTCAAAGCTCTCCACTCTAATATCTGTATGATCTGGGAAGAAAAAATAAGGAAGAAAATTTGTATGAAAAATGAAGCTTATTCCAAATAATGGTATGATGGAATGGAGGTAGCTCTTCATCTGAGTCAGTAGCGGAAATGATGAACATAAAATGCATCAGAGCTGAGCAGAAGAAATGATTTAGGGATTGGTCATGTTTGGTGAAGAGGCTGCTTGATTGTTTACTTATTGCTCCATTTGGATGCCAGATGAGGAAACTAGGTCATTGGTGTCCTAGTGTCATGGCATAGAAACAGCAGAGAACGTTGAGAATACAGAAAATGAGCCCTTAAAAATAGGTTTCTGCTGTGTTTAGGCCACAGAAGAACCTAATGGTACAGTTCAGTAGCCATGGTTAAAAATTTTCTTTTGCTGGTTAGGAAATGACAAAGCTCCTGACATGAGGCCACACAGCATGTAAAGAAGTGGGGGAGGGAGTCACAGTGTGAGGCATTCTGAACTAACAAATTTTTTTATTATTGTTATTTAAAGTGACATCAACACCATCCGTGAAGGCATCGGAGACAAGATCAGTATATTTCTGCAGTTTTTTTCCACGTTTGTGTCAGGGCTTATTATAGGATTCATCTATGGCTGGAAGCTGGCACTGGTGGTTACGTCAGTCAGCCCACTTCTTGCTGCATCAACAGCAATTTGGTCAACTGTAAGTGTGTGGGGATTTATAGATAAACCAGACAAAGCTTACAACACTTATGCACAGAAGAGGTGGGAGAATGGGAGAAACCTAGTGTGATTTCGAAGTTAGCAGGTTGGCCCCACTCTTACTTTGAGTTCTGTTCCTCCTGTAGCCTTTCTCTGGGTTCCCAAGCACACTTTTAAGGTGTGTTCCTTCTCTCTGCATAGCCTGTCCTCATGCCATGTTGCAGGAGGATAATCTGCATCTGAGCATCTTTCTGGTACAGCAGTTTCCTCATGGCAAGCACCAGGGAAATCCTCGCTTGATTTATGCTCCTAGCATAAATACCTTTCAGCCTCTTTCCATCTGCACATGAATGTACCACAACTCTTGCAAATAATTTACCAAGTTTCATGCAGTGTATGGACTAGATCTATACAGCTATGCAGATACATACAGCTGCTGAAAACTGAAGTGCTATAAATCAGTGAAATGGCTGGAGAGGTTTCCCTTTCAGATAGGAAAACTTTGTCCCCCTATGCACTGTTTAGCCACATTAATGTTGATGGCTCATACTGTTGAGTAGCTATTTATATGATTTTATGGGGTTTTTCCTACATGAAGCATTACAAAAAAGCTAAGAAATAGAATGTTAGAGGTTGTAATGTGATTGACTTGCTTACTTCAATGTCTGCTGGTTCTCTAGTGTGTGAACACCTCAGAAACTCAGAGCAGCTAGGGTACTTCCTCTTTCACTCTTCCTAGTGTAGTCTGTAGGCTGTCCTCAGCTTGGGAGGAAAGTGGATTAGTGTCTTGGTTTAGGGTAAATTTTGGAGAGAACCTCCAAATGGAGTCCCCTCAGAAAGCAAATCTAAGCGGCCCCTACCCCCAACTGGTTCAGGAAAGGAGATTTCTTTGGAGAGAAGTGGGAAAAAAACCTGTTTATTTAACAGAAATTGAATAATATTAAACAATAAAACATCTTGCTGTTCAATGAAATGGCAAATCAAGGAAGAAAAGTCCTTTTCATGTGGTGTATCTTGGCTTGCTCAGGGTCTTATCAGTCCCTCCCGTGCCGGAAAGTGCTGAGGCCCAGGCCCTGGTGGGCCACAGGCGTGGGCTTCCGGGCTTTGTTTGGGATTTTTCAGCCCAGAGCAGGTTTGAACAGATCTAAGGAGAAAAAAAGGTCCAGGGAACTCTTCTGCCTCAGCTAGCTAAAACTAACTAACAGTAAAAGAGAAGCTTTGTCCTGCTGTCCATCTGTGCTGCAGACACCACAGTCCAGGAGCAGGATGTTTTCTTTCAACACAAACTGTGAGCTGCTTCTTCCCCCCCTTCTCTCTCAGAGCCAGTCTGAAAGGTGCAGAACTTAATATGTAACATAAACCAGGCAACTGGGGATACAAACATCATAAAGTCACCCCAGGACAATTGGGAATGAAGCTCACCTGATATTTGTGTAGCCTTTGCTTGTAATGATGAAACAATGATAAATTGAACTCTGAGGGAAATTCAGGGTATGGGGAGGAGCTGATCCCCCATAGATTGCTAATATCTGATCTCATGCACCTTGTGTGATTGTTCTTATTCACCAAGACAGTGTGCATGTTATTTCAGAAGGTTGCAATAACAGCTGTTTTTAAACTTTTCAGCTCCTGGCATCTCTTACTGCTAAAGAGCTGTCTGCTTATGCCAAAGCAGGAGCTGTGGCCGAAGAAATTTTGACATCAATCAGGACTGTTGTGGCTTTCAATGGACAGCAGAAGGCATTAGAAAAGTAAGTTTTTTAATTAATAATTATATTTAAAATATGGAAGGAAATTTAGTTGTGGAATTGGTTTGTGGGGATATTTTCATTTTTTTTTTGAAGGGGCAGAGGGGTGACACTCCTTAGTGTCATTTTGTCTTTCTATAAGTGGACAAATCACCTGAAAACAAAGATGTGCAAATAGATCTAGTCAGTGAATAAAGGCTATTTGCTGTTGTCACTGCAGCATAGATGAAAATTTTTCCTTTGGTTGAAATCTGGAGTTGAACTGAATGTGAAAGTGGTGGGAAGGTTACCTTTACCTAGGAGTCAGATGCAACAAAGCATGCAATCTGCTTATCTTCTAGGGCATTTGTGCTACTGCTCTGATCTTTGATTACTGAACTTATTTTTAAACTATGCTGGATAATAGCCTCGGGTAAAATCACATTAGTGGCTTTTACAATGATTTGCAAATAACATGTGTAGCTGCCCAGTGCTGGCCCTAGTCACACATACAAGGTGAAATGATTGTGGCTGATCACAAACTTATTGACATGCATATCAGATAACTCAACAAGCATAAGCAATAATTCTTTTCATACAAATACAAGGCATCACTGATTCCATGCAGCTGGGAAAGGCAAGGCAGATGACCTGATCCATATGCCTCATGAAACTCTTCTACCTTTTTCAACTCATGTTAGCCTTCATCTTGTGCAAAATTTACAAGGTGGTGTCAACCCAGCTTAGGATCCTACAGCCTGTTCCTGCATTTTCTTCCAGGGACTGAGCTCTGACTCTTACAGCCCTGTCTTCTGCTTACTGGAATTTCTTTTTAAGATGCAACAGCATTAAGACTGTTCCTGCCTGCACAGTAAAAGCAAAAAAAGCCCTAGATGACCTAGATAAGTTGTCCCGCTCCTTCTCATATTCTTCAATTACCAGTGTCTGAAAGTTAAATTACAGGAGCTGTCAATATTCATTCACAATACTTTGTCTAAAGACAAAATAACTGATACCTGAGTCAAGAAAGACTTTTCCTTTTTATGATTGACTAGTCAGCCTCTTCCACAGCTCTACCTCCATTTAATCTAAAAACCCCAAACATCTAAAAACCCCTAGGATCATCTTCTGCTACGGACAAACTCCTACCAGGGAGTGTATTTTTCAGATAGTAGATTGTGACTCCTACACAGCTCTTGAATGTTGACCTCAGAGTTAGGAAAAGCACCCTTTCACTGCACAGTGCCTCCACTGACCAGAAAAGTTTACTCTTGCAAGGGATCTTCAGTCACCTTTAGTTTCTGGCAGTGGCTTGGCCTTTCCTCAGTATTTGAGTGATCATGTGTATTTATCACACTATTTAAATGCTGTACCCATTTCCCTGGAAGACTGATGATGCTGCTGACTCAAACATAGGGCCTGGTTTTAAGAGCCCAATCAGGTCAAAATATTTCAATATGTTTGACTAACAAAAACAGTGTTGCTGGCATCTTAGAAATTTACATGAACAAAATTAATGCGGTTTAAGGTTGCTTCCCAGCTGAATGGATTGCATGTCTTCCTACAATGGAGTTGTACTTTATTGAAAATACATTTTGTGAAAAGGGTGCAAGCTACTGACCATGCTGATTGCAAGTAGAAAGTTACACTATTCCTAGACTACACTTTGCATAATGAGCTTGAGTAAATGAAAGCTATTTGCTGAAAACTATAGATGACTGCATGAATTTGAACCATTCTTGGAAGAAATAATTTTCTAGTTGAACTTGTTATATACCTGTTTATACTGATCTTCTGTGTTCACTGCTCATATATGTAAAATATGTATATATTATATGTATTACATATAGTGCATATATATATTATGTATATATCAGTAAAGTGACCTAAGGGAAAGATATTTGACATCCCAAAATGGCTAATAAGAGAACAACTTTGCCATCAGAGGGAGCTCTCATTTATCTCTTTCCCTATTGCCTAGGATTGTTGGAGGATTTTATTTTTATTTTGCTTCTTTTAAGTGTGGAAGACTAGCCTTTATCTCTGTGGTAAACAAGGTTACTAAAACTTTTGCTAGGTTTCCTTAAAAGATTAATGGAAAAAGAGTTCAAGAGTGCTAGTGTCTTCCATTATGATAACAAAATTTTGATACTTGTTTTCTGATTGTCTTCCGTAACGGTATGCCAATATTGTCGGCATACGTTAGAGCAGATTTATTCAAATTAATTACCTCCCTAATAGTCCTCCTATAAAAAAAAAAGAAAGAAAAAAGCCTGTATTTTCTTGGAGATTCTAATTGATTTTCTTACATAAATCCTTTTAATTAAGAAAAGGGCACTGGGAAATATCAACCAGGATGGCATGTGGTACCTGTCAAATTAATGGTTTCCTTACCCGCTTTCAGATACGATGCGAACTTAGAGACGGCTAAACGTGTTGGAATGAAAAAATCCATTACCACTAACACATGTCTGGGTCTTTCACAATTTTTTATCTTTGGATCCTATGCCCTTGCATTTTGGTATGGAACCAAACTCACTGCTGAGGATCCACATTATGACATCAGCTGTGTGTTAATTGTAAGTACAGCAATGCAGCCTTGAAAAATATTCTGTATCTTCAGGGAAAGTTATGCAAGTGGTGTCTCTGTTTTCTGCCACCTGCTTGCTAAATTAGCTGTTAGAGACTCACTTAGTATAAAATAACTGGAAGTTATTCATCTTTCCTAGCTTTTAATATAATAAGTTTGATTGTCTTGGACTCTATTTCTAAAGTGGGATGAATAGCCTAGAGCTGGCACTTAAGTCTTTCTAGCACCCATGTGGGCACTGTAATCATTAACTGAAATACTCCTCTCCATCTGCCACAGGTGTTCTTCTCTGTGCTTATTGGAGCTTTCTCCCTGGGCCAGGCAGCTCCTAACCTGGAGACTGTGGCCAGTGCACGTGGGGCTGCCTATGAAGTATATAAGATTATCAATAAGGTAAACACCTAACTGCATAGAATAGAAGCTTTTCAACCAACTTAGCTTCCCTTCTCTCTCATTTTTATTGTTTTTTCCCCTTGAGAAATGTAACAAAAGCGCTCTAAAGCCCCAAATCATCAACTCTATAGATGTTTACTACAGAAACCCATCATATTTTCATTGATCTAAGAGTGTACTGGGGAGGGGGAATTGGTCTGGAGGGGATTAATATCACTATTGAAAGTTATTACAATAATAATCTGTAATGCTGATGTTGCCATAAAAAAGGTTTTCCATATCATAATCTTGGTCTTGCTGTGCTATGCAGCAACAGCGTAACTGTGTATATAAAATAAAGTAGGACTAAAAACTTCTTGGAGAAAAGGCTACATCATTCTTTGTGATGTGAGTATTAAACCCTCTTGATTACTGGGGCCCATGTTTTGGCTGCAAGAGAATGCAGCTAATTCTGCAATTAGAGATTTTTTGCTACAGATTTTGTTGCTTTTGAAAGGGTACTGTATTTGTCAAAGTAGAATCCACAATTTGATGTTTCCCCCATATTCAGCATTCTGCTGGTAAAGTGCAGCAGTTCTGCAGCAATGTACTGCAGTGTCAACCAGCATCTGAGAAAGTAAGGAACAATGCATGTAGCAGAAATAACAGTTCCAAAAGTGAAATAACCACCAATTTATTTCACAAACTTCTTTCCAGAAACGGCTCATAGATAGCAGTTCTAAGGAAGGCTACAAGCCAGACAAACTTGTAGGAGAAATTGAATTCCGAAACATCCATTTCAGTTACCCTTCCAGACCGGATGTTAAAGTAAGTGTTCTGTTTCCATTATTGTACTGAAATTCCTCAGTTTGTCCATATTGTTTGTTTAGTTTTGTTCCTGTTTTGGGGGATGTGCCATAATTTCCCCCCCAGTGATGCACAAAGACAAAGCTCTAGATCTACTGTCACTGTGAATCTCATGCTCTTCAGCAGGACAAATCTGTGCTGCCCCTAGTCTGTCTCTATGGACAAGAGCTTTGATAAATCAAATAAAACTTTTCAAAATCTTTCATTAACGCTTCCAGACTTGAAGCAGTTAAACCAGAAAGTTCACTTTTTTCCAGTTTCTTGACTCTTTGGAGTTATGATATCCCATGAGAAAAATTATCAGAGATAGACTTTACAACAATATGCTATCAAACATATTGAAACATCATCCTAAATGTACATTTGGAAGTCAAACATTGTTTTGGGCGTATGTAAAAATTGCTGTTCAAGAGCCTGTTGTCCTTGTTCTTTGCTAGTTAAGTTTCCATTAGTGACCTGTGTGTACATCATGTTGTTGTGATTACTTTTATGGTGACACAGTTGGTTTGACCTCTGACATTTGTTTATAATATTTTGAACACCTTGATGAAGGTGAAAGGAAAAGGAATTTGCTGCTGTTGATTCTTCCTTGATGAAGAAAAAGGACACAGACACAGAGTCTGTGCCCTTGCTTCTGATACTTAGCTCTAAGATCCAGAAAAACACTGAATTTCATATAACATGAAATGCATGCGCATGTTTTCATGGTGATACATGAAAACAACTGTTAGAGTTAGATAGAAAAGCTAAAAGTGTGAGAGTATAGATTAGAGAGTTTTCTTAAGTCACTGGGTGAAAAAGCTAGTTTAGAGTTTAAGTTAGTTTAAAAAGCAAAAGGCAAGATGGAGGATTTAGAATGTTGTTTCTTTTCCTTCTCCTATCTTTTTCATGTTCTTCTAGAGGTTTTTGGGTAATAGTAAGTGATTGGTTAGAAAATGCCTCAGCGCAGCACACAGGTGATGGATCATTAAGAAAAATGTGTCTATTGTTAATTGGATAAGAATGAATATAAAGATAAAAGCAGTGCATAGTTCAGGGCCACTTTGTGCTTTCAAAGCCAAAGTGAGCCACACAGTGAGCCACAAGGCCATTCTGTGTCATCAGAAGAAAATAAGTCAGATTGCAGTGAACTGAACTTGTGCAGTTACTCTGGACAGACCTGCCAAGTTTTGTAATGACCCTCTAATAAACACAAGAAACAAGACTCTAACGAGCTCGGGAGTTTTCTTCAAACCAGAGAACAGAGATAAGCAGGGCTCCCCATGAGGGAGGATCCCAAAGGAGCTCAGCTCAGAGGAGACTAAGAAATCCAGGAGGAGAAAGAGAGAAAAATACAGAAGTGCAGCAGAATCAGAGAAAGAGAAAAAACAAACAAAAAAGAATTTTATAGAGAAAAGTTACAGAAATAGAGATTTCAAATGTCAACAATTAAAAGCTTGACATGCTGATTTAGTGGTGAGAATGGGAAGGTTTGTACAGCTGTTTCTTTCAGGTGGCTTTTCCCAACAAAGTCATCTGAGGTCTGTCCCATTGTGCATCAAATCTGTTTCCAGGACATTGGGATGGTTGGAGCACCGACTCAGAGCTGGGCTTTCTCCTTAACTGAATTTTATATGATGCATCTTCTATCCCTCTTGGCTCAGAAATCTGGAAAGAGCAGAGTCTTCACCTTTCTTCCTAAAAATCCTATTCAGGCTGCTGAGCTATGTTGTGAGCACACCAAATGGGAGGGAAATAAGAAATATTTCTCATCCTTCCCAAATCTCAGTCAGCAGCTCTCCCTACTAAGAGCATCAATGTTATTTAGTAGAGCCAAAAAGAATCAGTAAAGCTGTGTAGAAGTTACCCCCAATCTCGCAAACATTTGATACAACACAGTATAATCTTCCCTGTCCAGGTTAAACCAAATCAAAAACATCTAAGGAGTACAGTTGTTATTATTAGTTTTAATCTTGGCTAAGATTAAATCTAATACGTTGCCTGATGAAAGAGGGTTAGGACTAGCCTAGTAGGTGGTAGTGATTGTTTGCATCTGGCGATATTATGGTATCTAGAATAAGGTTCTTGATAATGCAGGCACCAAGATATCAGCTTCCTGGAGATATAAAATTGGATCGACGTATACAGGGAGAGGAGAGGAATATTGCAACTATTTTAATCTCTCATTGTAAAAACCTGTGTAGGCAAACTTGTATATCTGCCTGGTATAAACAAGAGTTCCCATAGCAGCCAAATATTTTGGTAGCTACACAGCATTACTCATAATAACATAGACATCTTTTGAGGTAAAATGTTCTCTAAATGTGAAAATAGCAAAAATTATATAATTAATCTGTAACTGCTCCCCAGGTTTCTGAGACTGTTAACAATAAGGAATGGGATTTATTAAGGGCCTCCCAGAAATTATTTCATCAAAACAGCCTTTTTTATTTTAAGAATAGAAGAAAACAAGCTTTGTTTACAGTGATACTTTTTAGCACCTGAAAATAATTTTCTGTGAGATTCATAATTATGCTCTGGAAAATGGAGGACAGCAGGAGAACTTAAGACCCTAAACCTGCTTCCAGATCACACAAACTAGAGAAACTGAGCCATGAAATTCAGAGTAGTGTGGCCGTGTCTATATTAGTTTGAGTGTGCTAGGGAATTTTCCCAGACAATGGAATGCAACGGTCCATGCAAGGAAACTCTTAAAATATTTCTTGGTATGAGCTTGGCCTGTTCCAGTTATCAATCTTCTCAAAAAATTCCCAGGCTTGCTTTGGTAACCAGAAGGATCTAGGGGCCATTGCCAAAAGGCAGGTTGCATGCAACCATCCTGCTTTGAAGGCTAATACTTTTCACAAGCATAGGTGAAGAATTTTTCCTATCAGTGCTCCAGGATATTCCCAGGTACAATTAACTTATTAATGTTGCTGTTCCTTCAGACTGTGGCCTTCACTTCTGCCTTGATAGCAACAGCTACAGTTACCTTGACAGACTATTCTCCAATCAAACTTGTTAAACTAAGACATAATTTTTTTTATTATTATTTCCAGATCCTCAAAGGTCTAAATTTGAAAGTTCAAACTGGGAAGACCATTGCTTTAGTTGGTGCCAGTGGCTGTGGAAAAAGCACTACTGTTCAGCTGCTGCAAAGATTCTATGATCCTGACCAGGGAGAAGTGAGTGTCTGCAAAAACATTGTAAAAACTTAGAGCTGTTAGGACATGCATGAATTTCCCATATTGATTGAACCTTGTTTTCTATTTTGACTGAATTTGACCCTATTATCTGCATAGCTAATATTTCTACAATTTTAATTTCAAATTAACTATCTTCTCTTGTTGGCTTGACTTCATTATTCTGTTCCTTCTTACAGTACTATGTCATAAATAGCAAATACCACAAGTCTTGGAATAGACTTGCAAGATCTGAATCTAAAGTAATTGTTATCAACTGTTCATTTTTAAAATTCCCTAAACTTTTTTAAGTGAAATATAATGGAACAGAGTCCTGCTGTATTTTGCTTCCTTTTCATTGAATGCAAGCTAAAACCTGGAGGCAGTTTTCTTATTTTAAATGGTTGTTTTCTTGGCTTGTTTTTCACTATCTGCTAACCCACAGCAGAAGTTTCCATCATTACACATTTGTGTGTGGTAAAACACACACATTTACCACGGTTGGTAAATGGTAAATACTTCCCACAAGAAATTTACAAAGGGAAAAAATGAGAGAAATGAAACAATACATTTTTAAGAAAATTTTCTTTCTATTCTTGGTATTTTAATATATCTCAATATTTGCTACTGCTAGCTGAAAGTAGGTAAACATTTCAAATATGAAAAATTGAACTATCAGTATATAAGGTATCAAGGCAGGTGTTTTCAACACAGCTCTTTCTTAAACGTAGTTTTCCTGTGGCTGTTCATTTCTGCCCCCACACCTCATTTTGCTGTGTCAATGTCAATGTTCATATCACCACGCTGCAAATGACCTGGGTTAAAAATAACTTTCCCTTTCCTTTTAGTCAGCTTGAAGTCTCTTTGATCTGGTGTAAACAGCCACTGAGATGATTGTGTAGCTCCAACCGTGAGGAAATCAAACTGGCACAGCAGCTTAAGAATCATGTAAAAAGTATGCAAGGAAGCTGTAAAATTCTTAAGCCAACTTAGGATGGTTATTATGGGAAAACAGACCGGGGGGGGAAAAAGGCACCCCTTTTTTCTTTATGCCTTTCATCATAATTTTCAAGCTTGTGCAATGGATGGAAAAACTGCAGTTNAACCCAAACACTATTCTCCACCATAGAAATATTGACTTTGTCATCACAGCATCATTTTAGAAACACTTCTTGGATTCTCACTCCTACAGTTCACCTGTATGGAATTTTAAAGTTACATCATGCTTTATATTGTCCCTGTGATACTTAGAAATAAAAAATAGCAAAATATTCCACTCTCCTTGACTGTCTACTCAACTAACTCCTTCTTGGCAGTTAGAGTGGAAAGATTATGCTATATTGGTGTAGATAAATTTCATTGCTTTATTTATTCTATTAAATCTACCTTAATGAGTAGGATAAGTCTTGACTGTAATAGTGCAGTCTTTCTTTTTCAATGAGGATATTTTATTGAAGACAACAAATTTTATCCAAAACAGTAAAATTTATGGCTTTTTATAAAAGAGGCCATCAAAGCAGGCAATTTAATGTATTTTTTTTAACTGTAGATTTAGCTAATATCTTTTCATGTCTATGACTACTCCCACAACAAGCCACATGATTTTTTGCATGTAAATATTCAAATCACTAAATGTGAGTCCATAATATTTACCGATGCCACAAGCCTTTTTCAATGTTTTTGGTTACTTGAAACTCACATTATTTTCAAAACACATGTTGGCACATAAAATGAAAATCATCAGAAGAAAAAACCCATAAACACAGCTTTTTATAATGGAAGGTTTAACCAGGTCAGATGTTCTCTGTTTTCTGAAGGAGTGAGCTTTATGTACTAGGTCTCAGACAGCAAGAGGCACAGTTATCCTAAGCTCAACTTAATTTTTTGTTCTCCAAGAGAATGACAACTAAGACTAGTGTGATTCCTCCAGACTAACATTTCAAGGGGATAGTAGAGCAGAATGGATTATGGACTTGGTTTATTTAAACAAAAAAACATGCTTACTGAAAGTTTTGACTGTCCTGAACCATCTTTCTCCTGGGGAAAAATGCACTAATCTTTGCAAAACCACAGTGATGTTTGCTTTTTTCAATCAAATGTGGGGCACGGTTCCCACCTTCAGACACATCAGTTTAGCTGTCTGCTTGTCGAGGTGTCCTACTCCCAGAGCCACACTCCTGACCCACACCCAGCAGAGCAGCAATTGAAAGGTTGTGCATCTCACAGGTTGCTGAGCTGCTGGTGGATAAGAGCTTCTTGTCCTCACTCTTGACTTTTTTCAGCACTTCAGTAATTTTTGGCTTTGTCTTGTTCCATGGATGAACTTTTATGTGCTTTTGGCAAGAGAGGGATTATTCCCTGTTGGATTCTGGTTAAAGCTATGATAGGTTATTCTGGGGTCTTTGGCTGGAAAAGACACAGTAATAATTTTCTTGATTAAAAAATATATACATCTCCAAGTTCTCAGGAGGGATAGTTGGGTTCTGAGCTTATTCATTTTTATCAAGTCCATAGCCAGGGAAACATTGCAGAATGTTGTATTTCACAGCATTATAGTACGAATTCCTTGGAAGTGTAAAAGTGATGAATGCTCAGATTGTGTCTTCTTATTGGTAATAGGATAGCATCCAATATATACAGAAAAAAAAATCAAGTGCTTTTACAGTGTTACTGGCTGAAAGTTCCTCCTGATTGCTTTCTTAGACATATGGTAAGAATTTACTTGCAATTCATAAAAAGCTTTTCTGAATGACATTAAAAAAGGAAACACAGTGCATATTGACTTTGAGGATATTTGGTAATGAGTAGTGGGTACTGCTGGGATCTTCTAATTATTTCCATAAGTATCAGCTCATCAGAAAAGTACAGCTGGGTCATAGTGAATGACACAGGTTGGTATAAGGAGGGACAAGAGGGAAAATAATTTTTTAATTTTTTTTTTTGTTTACCCGAACAAATTTGTATCCCTTAGTAAATCAAACAATATATGAGTTACAACCATATTAAAACTGAATTTCTTACTGTACTTTGAGTTTACTTTTGGTGACACTGATACCAAATGGTTTATTTTCAGAATGTCTACTTTACTATCATGATGCAATGCAACTAAAGATCCCTTAAAATTAATTATTTCTTCTCTGAATGTAGTTATTTTATGAGCCAGTTAATTGATGTACTACCTGAATTTATTCCTGTACTAAGACATTCATTAGACAACAGTGAGACTATTCAGGATTTTCAAATAGCTTTTGGTAGTACTGCAGAGATAATTTTACATCCTTTTGAAAAGAATAAAGAGGAATTAAAACCAGTTACCATTATTTTTCAGTGTTCTTATCCTTTGTCTTATAATCATAAGCACTTAAAGGAAGATTGATGTATTTCAAAGCCTAGTCTCTGGTAGCCTAATCTTTCTTGGGACACTGTTGCTAATTTGAAAAAGCTAACAATTTCCCAAATCTTTAAGAGCTATTCAGACATGTTCTTATGCATACCTTGGAAGCATCAGATTCTACTTAAAATGAAATATCTTTCATCAGACATTTTTGTCACGTATGTTCATTTCCACAGAAATTAACTTCAAGCCAGAAGTTCTTTAAAGTTCTTGTAGTCTGTTTAGAAAGTGGTACAACAGAAGGAAAGTTTGGTGAGAGCCCAGGCATGACTGTGCAGTGATGCATACAAAAATGTACACTTACAAAACAAGTTTAATATTGCAAACACATTTAGAGCTAAAAGTTCAGCCCTGCATGAATACAGAACAGAGTCATGATCTAGAGTTTACATCACAACAAAAACCAGGATCTGTATCACTAGCCCCTTTAGTAACCTGAGGATTCCTCAGGCCTTGTAAAGGGCTTCCTTCACTCTTGGGAGTGTAAATTGTTAAAAGATTACACTGGACAAAACATGCTCCTAAACCTTGTTCACCTGTCAGCTGAAGGACTGGGCTGGGAACATATGGGAAACAGGTGTCGTTCTAGACCCCAGAGTATGCAGATAACCAAGGTCAGCAAACACAGTTACTTCTCAAAGTGGAAGGGGGAAAAAGTAGCAAAGGGAGATTGTAGTGAGACCTGAGAGCAGGAACCATCAGCTGGCAGGAATCCTACTGCTTTTTTTTTTGAAATGCCAAAATATTTTTCCTCAGAAGAGAATGAGGCCAAGTACAATGAATGGTCTGTTATGGGAAAAAACCTAACTACCCCAAGGCAAAACAATGTTGTGACCACTTTATGAGCAGAAGCAATTTCTCTAACTCAAGAGATTTAACCCAAGTCTATAATTAGGTGATCAATTGTAATTTGCATGCAAGTATACGAGGCAGCTGTTTTCAGAAATTTTCCCCATCTCCTCTATTCTGAGACAATTTCTTATTAATCCTTGGATGTTTTTCCCATTCATGTCCTCAGGGACCATATACCTTGGAGGTATATTATGAGATGCAATGCTAGGGGATAACTAAGATTTTCAACACCTGAGGCATGTAAAAAGAAAAAGGGACTTTTTAAAAAAGGAAAAATGTGAGCTTGAAATGAGGGAAGTGGCAATACCAGCTGCACAGACAGGTGCTGTGTCTCTCAGAAGAGAGGGCAGCTAGGGTGCAGAGCTGGGTGGGGGGGCAGATAGGAAAAACTATGAATTAGGGAAAACTATGCTCCCAATCAACACCAGCTCAGAGCCACTCTCTCCATCTGTCAGGACTTGTCCATATACGTTATTTAAATACAAAACCCACAGTTATTTGTCTTAAGAGCTTTATTTTAGGTAGGGTTAAATGTTTTATATGTGTGTCTATCACTCTTTTTCTGCCTCTGCATTTTAACTTTCTTTTTCCTAGATTAAATAGTATCAGTGGAAGGCCACCCTCTGCACAAATCTTTAAATTTTTTTTTTAAACCTTAATTTTTATCTTGGCCTGTCCTGGCAAGGGAAAGATTCAGTGACATTCTCATGAGTCGTGAGAAGCATGCTCAGAGAGAAGAGCATACATTGTTTACATTGTTGAGTTTACATTGATTCCTTTAGATGAAAATTACCACATTTGCTGACTCTTGGG